GTATGTCTATCAGTCTGGAAATAATAATAATAATACGTAACAAAATTAACAATCATACCTTGGAAATAATACCACACATCAAACAGGAACACTTTATAGACATTTTCTTTTTCTAAAGCATTACAGTGGTCAAACTATGGGAAATAGTTTTCGATTCGTTACACGTTTGACTGACGAGTTGATATCAGCTATAGAACCATCAGAAAACCAAGGAGTACTGTAACAACAGAAGACAAGGACCAGACAACAGATCGTTTATTAAGGAAAATCAACACATATTTATCGATTTTAACGTACATTATTGTAGATTATTGTTAGTAGAAAATACAGTCTTTTGATTGGTTGTTTCTCACAGAAACTTAACCTTGCATCTCTTTGTGGCTGTGTCAGATCATCCATATGCTAACTGTATCCGCCTACGCAAAGCCTTTGTTCTCATTTTCTCACCACCAATATTGGGGACATAAACATTGACATCAATTACTGTCTACCAACTTTGGCTAGCAGCCAGGTCTCACCACAGTACTAGACAGCTGTTACGTCTTAATCTGAGACTCCTCAGAACAGTAGATAGCCACTGGGGTTCAAACCGAAGACTTTCTCGTCACAAGGCGACCTCACAAACCTGACCTAGTGCACGTGAATTCCAGCTTCTGTTAACTGGCGATATATATATATATATAGCGCAGCCACGAAAAGATGTCATTGGAGAGTAAGGGATCTCTTAGCTGACTTGACAGACCTTCCTGGTTTCGACTTCTTTCTAGAATTCCAGGTAACTTCCTATATAGAGCCAGATTCTAGGGAGGATCAGATTAATTATCAAGCGCTGGTTCGCAGGGATTCGACTGGTTGCAGGTTAGTCAATCAACCAGTCTATTGCGAAGTTGTAACCATCGGGGTCTATCAAGTCGAGTAAGAGATCAGTTACTTGCCCGTGACATTTTCTGGCCGTTGTGCCATAAATATCACGATATGACGAAAGTTGGGATTCATGGGCTGATTATTAAATTGGGTTATTATTAAACCCAGTGTCCTGGGTTCGAACCCTGTCGGTGCGTGCGTACTGATGAAGGGTTCCAAACTTTTGAGGCGAAACAACTGTCCAGTACCCCCTACTGGTTTTGCAATGCTTCCCTAACCGATGTCACCTCATGATGAAATCCTACAACAAATCAATTAAATCCCCCTACAAACCAATACTTGAATATCAATGAGATGCTCACTGGCGACTGGCCCTATTCAGGTAGGTTGTTACCTGGGGTTTTAGTGGGAAGTCGTGACCAGTAGGGTGCAGCAGGTCGGGTGTGAGGACAAATACCCACCGAAGACATTGCTAAGCGGTTGCACTACATCTTGAATTGGCAGAAGTTGAAATTTTTATGGGATGGTCATTGGATCGGGTCCCAGTGGCTTAATGGTCTACGAGCTCGCTGGCCTTGTAACCAGAAGGTCCTGGGTTCGAAACCTAGCGGTGGGTACGTACTGATGAAGAGTCCCAAACTAGGATGAAACTGCTGTCCAGTACTCCCAGCTTTCCTAATGGTTCTCTAACCAATGTCAGCTCATGATGAAATCCTGTACCAAACCAATACTTGAATCATAAATATACCTGATCCTTCATCCACAAACATTTATATATACGTAGGAAAAGATAACTTTATCAGACTTCACTTACAAATCTACTTTTACCCTTGAATTTCGATGGTGTTGACAGAGCTTTAGGAGATCGAGCCATTGAAGGCGTTGACAGAGGTAAAGAATCCAGTGATGAAGGTGAAGATGATGGTGATGATGCTGGCGAATAAACATTGGCCAACTGTTTTAAACTTTCATCTTTCACAATTGGAATATTGAACAGTGATTCATTTTTCAATTGTTTAAATGAATTCACATAAGCAGCAGTACGATCACCATTATTATTGTTATCATTATTATTATTAATACCACTATTTCTGTTGCTGTTGGTACTATTACTAGTATTAGTTTTATTACTGTTCATTTGAAAGTAACGCGGTCGAAAGATTCTTTCACGATAATTTGATAAATAATGTATCGGTATGTCTGTGATAGCATTAATGAATTGCAACAGACTAAGCGACTTAACAGAAATATAAAGACGGTGAAACTAAAATGAAATAAAATTCGAAAAAAACAAAACAAAAACAAAATGAATTATGAAACATTTCTTTTAATTCGTTTGTTTATTTTTAAGTTATTTTAATGACAGAAAATTATACTACTCATAATTTGTCAGTAGCTGTAAAGCACATTTCTTGTTAAGAGTGAATAAATTTGTGGAAATAATGACGGTGATGACAATAGTTTTATTCTGAACTGTACGTTCTATAGAACAGGACACGAGTTTTTGGCGTGATTTTTATCTATACCTTGAAGAGGACATTCAAGGAAACTAGTAATCTACAATAGATCATTCAAGGCACTAATACTATTTATTCTAAATAAAGCAAGAACAACAGTGGTGGTTTGTACAGAATAATATGGTACCATCATTGTTTATTTCGTTGGCTTCTCATCAGCTGCTTACAGCCTAAATAAATTGTGAGGTTTACGTACAGATAAGTTTTAACATACTTGCAAATTTTACATGTTGTCAGTTGACAAAAAGTTCCACAAAAAAGGAACAGTGCTCAGAAAATTCTGCTTATATAGTTTTTACACAGGCAGTTCAAGTCAAAATAAATGTATGCATACAACGGTAAAGGAGTTACGTAATAAAGACGAGAGGTGAGTAAGATGATGAGTAACTAATAAATTTGGTAACGATGTACTGAGTTCACCTCAAATCATAGAAACAAGAGACAAGCAATATTACAGATTATAAAAAGAGCGGTGAGGTTAAAGACACAGATTACGTAATCAGTGTAGAGAATAAAGACATCCAGTTACCATGGCAAGGAAAGACTAATAACTAATAATAATAAATGATGGTACCATATTATTCTGCACAAACCACTGTTGTTCTTGCTTTATTTAAATTCATGAAGGGGAATAAATGCATGAAGTTTCTAAAAGTCGCCTCCCCGCAGAATCTTTCAAATCACTATTTATTCTACCTGAAATATGCCATAACCGATGACGATTATATCCCGTCGAAATATATCTGACGGTTTACTAAAAGGCATTCAAAAATGCACAAAAGTAAACAGTGTTTTTCAGTGGAGTAACTGGATGGTTAAAATAAATTAAGATTAATTAATGATATAAGGATATGACTTGGACACTGTGGTGGTAGAGTATAATTCCATAATGGATAAAATTTTATTTTGATCAAATCACACAGTGTTATACAGTAGTAGTATTTACTGATGACCACGTTTCGAGCGCAATTTATTCACTGCTCATAATCATATCAAGGTACTCACATAAAAATAATGGTGAAACCAACAATGATAAAATAAATAAGAAAGAATTTAAGGCATCTACAGTTTTACCACATAATGAGGGGACATCTGAGGCCATACGTAGTAGGATTCTTAATAAAGCAGGAATTAGAGTGGCATTTAAACCTACAAACTCATTCACAGACAAGCTCTGTAGGCTAAAAGACCCGGTGGACCCAATTAAACGAAATAATATAATTTACAAATTACCTTGCAATGACTGATCAGAGTTAGGTCAACCACATAGGTCAAACTAGTAGATTAGGGGTAGTCAGATTGTCAGAACATAAGAATTTAGCTAAGCTAAGAATGGTTGACTCCGAGAAGATATGTAATTTAGAAGAAAACTCAACAATCGCACTGCATGCATTGACAGACAACCACACAATACTATGGGAGAGGATTAAAATTCTAAGAAGTAATATAAAGAGGTGGATAGACAGATTGATTACTGAATCCGTGTTCATCGAATCTACACCAAACAAGTGCAATAGAGTTGACTCAACGTAAATACCAGAGATATGGAAGATATTATTATCAGTCAAATCAGAGGATTATAAATAATGTGAAAATGTATTTCAGTTCACATACATTATAGCATTCTAACAAGTTACTTATTTTACTACAGAAACATCTTATTTCCAATCTTATTTCCCATCCTATTGTATTTTATTGATAACACTAATAGTAGTTCCGGATGTACTTCATCTTCCATTCTGTTTTACACAAGTTTTATGTTGATTTTATTCAAATATCTAATCAATTTTTACTCAAAAATATAAAAGAAGCAAGAAAGTCGTGTGAATACCTTGATATGATTATGAGCAGTATATAAATTGTGCTCGAAACGTTGTCATCAGTAAATATTACTTACTGTATAATAGCACTGTGAGACTTTATCAAAATAAAATTTTATCCATAATGGAATTAAGAGTAATCAAATTTGATATATTATGTTCTACGGAAAACTGTTTTAACGAGCTGTCGTGTGGTGAGAGCTGTCTACTAGCCAAATTGGTAGACAGTAATTGGCGTCAATGTTTACGTTCTCAAGATTGGTCGTGAGAAAATATGAACAAAGATTGATTCAAAACCGACCACATGAGACTTTGCGTAGGCGGATACAGTTAACATATAGATCATCTGACATTCAAGAAAAGGTCACAAATAGATGAAAGGTTAACTTTCAGTGAGAAACAACCAATCGGAAGACTGTGTTTGTTTACTTAACTAATCTATAATAATGTACATGAAAATATATAAATATGCTTTGATTTCCTAAATAAACGATCTGTTGCCTGGCCCTTGTCTTCTGTTGTTACAATCGTAACGAAGGTTAGGAAAAATAGTTGCTTTCTGTGAAGATTTGTATAACTCCATTAATGATGTTAATGCAGTTAATGCTAAGCTTTCGACGGTATAATGTTTCAGTAATTCTGTTATACTAACATCTACAGACGTGCGTTGGTGGCATAGCGGTTAGGACGCTCGCCGACCACGCACATGTCAGCTAATGATGAAATCCTCCAACCAATCAAACAAAAAATTCCCTGCAAAACCAATCCTTGTAAATTAGAAAATGGTTATTTTACATACCTCTCCCATGAACACTGATATCAATGCTTGAGTAAATGCTGTCTGTAGATTTAAAAATGGTTCTTTTATAGTCATTTTTATGCTTTCTGTAGTATCTTTACCAATTTGACCTTTAGAAGTAATTGGATAAAATGTACAATTGCATTTCAATTCTATTGAAATACTTTTTACACGTTTAGTTGATTTTTCATGAATACGCTTTAATTCTTGCCTTGACTTGACACTGCCGACACATTTGTCATCTCCAGCATTATTAAGCTGTTTGACACCCTTCCTAGATGATAAATGTTGACTGGATGAAGAAGCCGGTTCAATGAGTCGAGATTTTTTAGTTGGATTCTAAAAGAAAAGAAATGCATAGTAGTAATATTAACAAAAGCTTTATTCTAAATATGGTATTTTCAGCATGTAGTACAGTGTGTTGAGAGCTGGCTACAAGCCATAATTGTAGATAGCAGTTTATGTCAATGTTTACGTCCCTAATCAGGGTCATGAGAAAAAACAATAACAAAGCTCAACCTAGGGGAAAATCACCAACCTATCACAACGGAGTTAACATGTGAAAATATGATTCGCAGATATATGGCTTGATTTTCTGAGAAACGGCCAAAAAGAGATCACAGAATAACCTTCAGTAAGAAAACAACCAATCAGAAGAAGTTGCTTCTCCGCTAACAATAATGCACATAAAAATCTGTAAATATCTGTTGATTTTCTCAATAAACGATCTGTTGCTTGGCCCTTGCCTTCTGTCGTTACAGCAGTATACTATTGTATCTAATTTTCTTATTACAGAGGTAATAATTAAAACTGGGGCATCCTCATTAGTAACATTCTTCAATAAGAAGAATGAATTAGCAGTGTCATGCCTTACATGCTTGTCTCACCACACAAAATGTGTGAGCCTGCCAAATAAGGTATTGTAGAGCTTTTTGTACTTAGTCATTCGAGTATACAGTCTTCTATAGTCGCTTCCAGTTCCAGATGCAAGAAGAGAGTTGTGTATAGTTGAGAGGATGCTCAGAGGCTAACAGGATAATATTTGCTAATTTCTTCCATGAGTCCATGTGTCTATCTACAGCAGTATTAACAAGATGGTTTAGTGACATCCCATTCGCCCTACTGACAGTTATTAGTTCCCTTCGTAGTGTAACTAACCAAGTCTTTCTTAAGTAGCCCAGGAAAGATTAAAAAGAAGCAATAGAGAAGGATAGGTGGAATACAAAAATTAATAAACTTAGAAAGTACTTTTGTGGTGAGAGATTGTTGCTAGCCAAATTGGTTGACAGTAATTGAGGTCAATGTTAGTCATGTGAAAACAAGGTCAAGATGGACAGGCGGATACAGTTAACATATAGATGAACTGACACAGCCACAAGAGATGCAAGGTTAACTTTGTGTGAGAAACAACCAATCAACAGACTGCATTTTCTACTAACATTAACCTACAATAATGTACATCAAAATCTATAAATATGTGTTCATTTTCCTTAATAAACCTTCTGTTGCCTGGCCCCTGTCTTCTGTTGTTACACTTTGACTGGACACTAGCAACTGCTGTGATATGTTTAGTCATTGCTTTGGTGCATACTGAAAGCTATTAGTCAGGTTTGCAATGCGGCCACCATTCTAGGTAGCTCACCATCTTTGTGTACATTGATTTGATGATATTAGATCGGTGTAGGAAATCGGCAGGAAGCCTTGCTTGACCTAGGTTTCGTGCTAGTTGGAACTCGTCACCAAGGCCTCTAAACACCTAATATCATCAAACTTAGAAAGTAGAAACTGAGTGCTACCAAACTGTCTTAACTCCCTTACGTAGGAGTCAATTGGTTGATGGTGACTAACAGTGGGATCCAGAACGCACATTTCGTCTTATTCGGAACTCTTCATCTGGATATGCCTGCATTTCCCAGTGAGTGATGATGTCCCCACCGCGGCTCGAACCCAGTGCCCATAGTCTCAAACGCCTAAGCGTTATCTACTAGACCACTTGGGCCACGAGATCCACCTCTTGTGCAACAGGTCTTATTAATTATGTAATTCAATTTAGATTTTCCCGTCGTAGAAGTTTTCAAAAAATATCTTTCTCGAAACTAATATGATATGGAAAGACAAGGAAATATAAGAGGAAATACGCAATCCAAGGTATTCAACTTCAGTTCCAACTATGACAACAGAATCATGCGAACGAGCCAGTTCAAATAAGTCGCACTTGCATCTGCAGTGAAATTATCAACCTGACATTTGGAGGGAGGGATTTAGCTTAAGACTATTTAAAAAGGAACACTAACTAATTTCCAATAAAAATTTATTCATTTCGCAACAACCTGACTGAGAAGTAACCACCGGCATAGAAACAGTCAGATCATCGGCATACTTAATAAAACTGACTTCATCAGAATGAGGAAAGTCATGTAAGAATAAAGGAAACAGAAAAAAAGAAAGGACAGTAGACTGAGGAACACCAGCTAAAGTAAGTGAGATAGTGGAGGACTTTCCATTGTAGACAGTGTACTGCTTCCTATCAGGAAAATAGGAATGCAACCACTTGTTAATCCAGCACTGTGCTTGTGACACAGCAAACTTGTTTAAGAAAACAGGCCTAGGTACAGAGCCGAAGGTAGATGTGTAATCTAGGAAGTCACACTGAACATATCTGGCACCTCTGTCTAATTTAGAGACAATATTATGACGTAAGACATCAGTACAATCCAGAGTACACCTAATATGCTCATAAGAGAATTGGTTAGGGTCGTCAGAAACCTTCAATAAAGGTTCAAGATTAAGTAAAAGCAATTTTTCCACTATGAGTACTAGCAATAGGTCAAAACTTAATAGGCTCGAAAGTATAAATTTCATATTATTTTGTTTTTAAGTGTTGGTTCACAGAGATTTGACTGACTTTATGTTTGATTATAAGCCAACTTCAGTTAGGGGACTAAAGACTACTGAACAGTTCTTTTGACCCAGTTTGAGACCTTTCAACCGTACGCACCCATCATCCTACCAGGGATCGAGTCTTCGATCCCGAGATTACAAGAACAGCTCGTTGGTCCCTCAATTAAATGTCCCACCTGATATGACCTTCAATACAACCTGGTAGATTACGAGTCTCTCGCAATAACGAAATCGCCTATCTATTAGATTTGCCAGGCTACTTCTCTAAACACTATCTATCCTCAACGGCAACCATCACGACACGATACCATCGACATCTGAAGCAAGAAAGAAGAAAAACCGACAGTTAATAGGAGAACTTTTGTTGTCTCGAATCAACAGCAAGGGGAATGACAGCGATTCTGCTCATCTGGGGTTTCAAATGATCCTGAGAGACACTAATTTCATTGATAAGTTAAAACAGTCAACAGCCAATAGGGTTCAGTCATCACAAGTGGGAAATACGAACATCATGGTACTGTAAATTCAGGTAGTAGCTCAAGGCTTTGGAAAAACTACGTGAATAAAACACTATCAATTCTCAATTATTCCAATTTGTAATAAATAGCACAATCACCAACTGATGTCGTCGGCAAGTATTCGTCCTTACGTCCAACTTGGTGGATCTCACTGGGTAGGAATTCTCACTAAAACTTCAGGGAACTTCATCTTGCAATAGGTCACTAGTAAACAGTAGATTGATTTCATATGGTTCTCCAATGGAAATCATTTCGTTTATTGGATATATCACTCTGCGTGTGATCATTCAGCCTCTGGTATAATATCCACTGACCGGTGAATCCTAACTTCTGCCACTGTGCTATATATAATTCAAACAGCATTGTTGTTATTATAGGGTTGGAGGCAATCGGCCACGGGAAGCCTCGCCTGACATAGGTTTTGCGCTGGTTGGCACTCATCAGTCAGCAAGGCATACCTGCAATCTTGAAGGAACTTATGTTTCCACTAAGATTCAAACCCGTGTCAACTGGTGCTGCAGTTAGAGACGTTATCACCACCACTAAGCTATTCACCCTCGCAAAAGACCTATAGGACTAATTGTATTGGATACTTTGATTGGCGACTAGTGAGTAACTAATGTTACCAGTTACTAGTCCTTGGTACTGATATAGGCTGAATTCTATCAGTCACCTTTGCAATATGGCCACCATACTAGCTGGCTCACCATCACAGTGTACTGTAAATTGCTGCAATTAGATAGTTGGTTGGCTGGCGTGACATTAGGCAACACCTAGTGTCCAGTCAAAATATGGTTCAACCTCAAGTCAGTGCCATAGCCAAGTCATCGGCTTAACACCCAATTCGATCATCTCTACTGTGTGTTGGTAGCACAGTGGTAGAATGCTCTCCAACCCCGCAGGTGGTTCGGGGTTCGATCCTCGGCTGACGCATTCCTTTACCTCGCTAAACCAGTAATAACACTGGTAAAGAGGGAAAGTTGGGCATGAGGCTAGCAACCTCATCCTGTAAAAAATCAACAACACTGCTACAGAAACTTTAAGCCACTAGACTGGAGCCCTATGCTCCACTGGGAACATGAAGGAGTAAAACAATAAACAACTGGTCACAACTTCTCATTAGAAATAAAGCGCCAAAAATAACAGATAAAGTAAATTATGCAATAATAAATACATACGAATTCATCCCCTGGACAAATGTAATCAACTGCTGATGTATCAGGGTCATTATAGAAATGGATGTGAACTTTCCCATGAAGTTTCTTCAGTAGGCTAAAACAAAGAGAAAGAAAAAGAAAAAAAACGAAGAAGTAGAAACATGTTAGGCATACGAAAAACACTTATTATTATTTATTATTATTGTTCGCTTCAATTCCCAGAGGAACATAGGGCTTCACCCGTGTGTCTCCACAGCGTTCGGTTCTCTGCTAGAGTCTTCACCTGGCTCCATGTCTGCCCACACGCTTTCATCTCCTCTTCACATGACCTCCTCCAAGTCACTCCACACTTGCACTGACGACCAACTCGCCGCTTCCCTTTCGCGTTCCACTCGAGCAATGGCTTGTCTAGTGATGTCACTTGATGGTTAGTGTTCTCAGAGTATGGCCAATCCATCTCCATTTCTTCCTGCCTATATGTTTCACATTCGGTTCCTGCTGGGTTGGTTCGCTCATTGCCAGAGATCTCTGTTGTTGATCTTTTCTGACCGGCCATCTGATCTTGAGTATTAATCGAAGACAATTGTTAATGAAGGTCTGTAGTTTGTTGGAGATGCTCTTTATGACGCGCAGTGCAAGTCTCTGATCCGTATAGTAGCACTGACTGACTCAACATTGGAGTTGAAAATCTGGATCTTATTTTTGATGGTGAGTGCTTTTGACCTCCACACAGACTTGAGAGTAGTGAAAGCTTGTCTTGCTTTTCCGATTCTTGCTTTGATATACTGGTCAGTTCTGTTCACCTGTAGTTGAAACGATGCTTCCCAGGTAGATAAAGGAGGTTGTTTCTTTCAGGTTCCTCCCATTTATGCTGGTTCATTGTTGTCTGTTGTTGTTGTTGCTGTTGGTGGTGTTGCCCAGGAATCTTCATCACCTCTGTTTTCTCTATGTTCACCTGAAGGAAGTCCTATCTTTGATGCTTCTTCTGCCAGCTTGTCACTCTTCGCTTACATATCTTTCAGTTTGTGGGAAATCAGACATATATCATCATCGGCGAAGTCCAGATCCTCCAAGATTTTTGTGTGAGTCCATTTCATGCCTGTTTCCTCATTGTCCGCTGTTTGTCGCACTATCCAATCTACTGCAATCAGGAAAATCATTGTCGATAGTAGGCAGCCTTGTCTTACTCCTGTCCTCACTTCGAAGGATTCCGAAAGTTTCCCGTTGTGGATTACTTGGCATGCAGCATTGTCGTACAACTGTTGGATGAGACGAAAAACACTTAATAATAATAATAGCCCGCTTTATTCCAAAACAGTACTTATGAGATACAGAGTGCAATCCTTACAATCTCCTACAGTATTTCATCTAATTTACCAAACGACAGCAAAAACAACAATGGGGGAAATAATATTCCAGGATTGATAGATAATAACACGTTTTCTGATATTACCAGTGACAGTCAGTAATGTCAAAAATGTACCGAAAGTGTAAACTGACGACGGTGATGATGTTCGTAGCTCAAATTATAAGTTGATTGAAATAGTGAGTGTCACCATAGATTACAAATAGGAGAGAATAAAAGAGCCGATTATTTTGCTAATAACAAAGCATAGTAAGTCGTAGGTTTCGCGCTTAGCACTATCTCCATCACATAGGACCCCAACGGACAGAGGAAATATGGTATCGTTGAGTTCTTGTACTCAGTTATAGGAACATATGATCTTCTGTAATGATTTCTAGTCCTACCTGGTGAGAAGCGGCTAGAGGAGAGTTCAGAACAGAGAGGGTGTTAAGTGTCAGACAATATAGATTTGAATTATTTCTCACATGAGCTCAGGTGTCTATCGAAAGCAGTAGTAACAAGCTGGCTAAGTGCCATACCACTTACCCTACCTAAAATATTTAATACCCTGCGCAATATGATATTGTCCTTTTTGAATAGACTAGTAGGAAAGACCAAGGAGGAGGAGCAGTAAAGAACAATAGGTAAGATTCAAGAGTCAACAAAGTGTAAAAGTAAAGGTTGAATAACTCCAGATTACCTTAACTTCTGAATGTAGTAGGTCAGAAGGAACATTTTCTGAGAAATTGACAACATATGGGATGACCAGGGAAAGTCAGAGGATAGAACTATTACAAGTTATTTAATCCTTCATTTAGTTTCTATTTCAGTGACCTCTACGCCACAAGCGTCACGTGAATGAACCAGTCCTTGTAGATCACATTCATGCCGTAAGATGAAGTCAACTGTCTGATATTTCGAGGGATTTAAGGTGAGACCATTTAGCTTAGACCACCAGTTTATGCCCGACAAAAAGACATACTGTTTGAAACAGTCAGATCAGGATGTAACTGGCATTGAGACATTCAGATCATCATAGTATTGGACGAATTTTATTTCATCCGAAAAAGGTAAGTCAGGTAAGAAGAAAGGGAAAGAGAACAGCACCCTGAGGCACTCCAACTTCGCCTTTATAGACAGTAAACTACATTTTATTAGAGAAATAAGAATACAGCCAGTTAACAGCCTAGAACTGAGTCTCTGTCATGGAAGGCTTATTTAACGAAAGGCATCTGGGTACAGAGTGGAAAGCAGATGTGTAGTCAAGGAAGCTACATTGGATATATTTGGCCTCTTTGTCTATAGAGGACAAAGTGTTATACAACTTTAAATAAATAGCAAAATATAATAGAATAGACTTCCAGTTATGGATTTAAAAGAAACCATTGAACAACCTTCGACTGACTTGTCAATTTTTCCTACCCTACAATGTATGAACCTATTATGACTAATCACCACCATCGTCTCCCATATCACACTGTTTTGTAATTGAATTCAGCTCAGACCACGTTTGTCACACAAATACTACTATTCATTTTGTCACCCTATGATAACTAATCTGTTATTCTACGTAAAAATGTTTCCACCGCATAACTGGCCATAAAAATAATAATAATCACTAGCGGCTGACCCTATTCAGGTAGTTGCCTGGGGTTCTAGTGGGAAGCCTTGACCACTGGGGTACAGCAGGTCGAAGGTAATGATAGGTACTCATCGAAGAAGACACTGAGTGAAGTGGTCACGCTATCTCATGAATTGGCAGGAGTTAGAATTCATGGGTAGGCCGTTGGATCGGGTCCCAGTGGCTTAATGGTCTACGAGCTAGCTCCCTTGTAACCAGAAGGTGTCGGGTTCAAAACCTGTCGATGGGTGAGTACTGATGAAGAGTCCCAAACTAGGCTGACGAAACAGCTGTCCAGTACCCCTCGCTGGTTTTCCAATGGTTCTCTAACTGATGTCAGCTCATGATGAAATCCTTCAAGCAATCAAACAAAATCCCTACAAACCAATACTTGAAAATAATCACTTTATTCCAAACAATAATAATAACTTTACAGAATGGAATTTTCAGCATTTTTATGCATACCGCAGCAATTTAGCTCCTTTTATAAATATGCAGATAAATAGAATTTGAAAAATTATAGTAAAACCACAAAATACTCAATGTTGAAGGAGATATAATGACTTATAAATAGATATTATCATAGATAATATATGTATTAATAATAATAATGTCTGCTTATACTTTGCAGTTTAGATTACTGATTTAAAAAGTTTACAAGTTCTTTTCTGACATCTGACTTTCTCTTCATACACAGCCACCTGTGCTAAATATGGCGATATGGTATTATTATTTATTATTATTATTTCCTTTAGTTCCTAGAGGAACATAGGGCTTCAGCCGTGCGTCTCCATTGCGTTCGGTTCTCTGCTAGAGTCTTCACCTGGCTCCAAGTCTGCCCATACGCTTTCATCTCCTATTCACATGACTTCCTCCAAGTCACCCTTCGACGACCAACTCGTCGCTTCCCTTTCGGGTTCCACTCGAGCAATGGCTTGTCTAGTGATGTCACTTGATGGTTTCCTCAGAGTATGGCCAATCCAATCCACCTCCATTTCTTCCTGCATATTTGTTTCACAATTGGTTCCTAGTTGGTTCACTCCCAGAGATCTCTGTTGCTGATCTTTTCTGGCCGGCCATCTGATCATGAGTATTGAGCGAAGACAACTGTTAATGAAGGTCTGTAGCTTGTTTGAGGTGCTCTTTGTGACACGCCAAGTCTCTGATCCGTATAGTAGCACTGACTGACTCAACATTGGAGTTGAAAATCCGGATCTTATTTTTGATGGTGAGTGCTTTTGACCTCCACACAGACTTGAGAGTAGTGAAAGCTTGCCTTGCTTTGGTAGAAGTTTCATATTTAGCAGCTGTACGAGCGTAAATCCTTATGAAGCTTCTTCTGGCTTAACTCCCGAAGAGATAAAACGAAAAAGTTGCGAAAAAACAGGATGTTCAGCATCAGAGAAGAAAACTTTAGCCAACTGCTTAGAAGAATTAAAATGCCTATCCACAACAACTGTCAGTTAGCTGAGTCAGAGGGCACACCACTAACCCTACTTACAGTCTTCAGTTTTCTGCCCAATATGAAAAAGTTTATTTTGAGAAGTCCAGGGAAGAATAAGGGAGAACAATAGAGAAGGTGAATGGGCAGAATACACGAATCAATAAATTGTAAGAGAATAGGTTGTGTTATGCCAGTAGAAAGTTTCAACATCTTTATAAAATAAGTCAAACGATAACAAATATTATAATTTAATTGGTGGATGGTGACTAGCAGTGTACGTGCTGGTACATCCAGATGACGAGTCCCAAATAGGACGAAACGTGCGTTGTCCTGGATTCCACTGCTAGTCAACATCCACCAATTAAATTCTAATTAAATGCCTAGACATCGTCGAAACATCAGCACAAGAAGTCGACATGCCAACCTGAGACCGAGCACTTCGGTCCAATCAATCGATGGGAAAATCTAAAATTCAATTAAATGACAAATATTACAGTTTATAATTGTTAGAACCTGAAGAGAAGAATTTATTGAAAAGAATATTCTTCATTCAGACTGACTTTTAATTCATGATATGAGAATATTTCACTCTATTAAATATATACATACTAACCTTTCAGGGATAGAACTTCTGTTCTCTTGGTTGTGTTGCTGTTTTTGCTGTTGTTGGTGGGGCAGTCGTTTTCCACCTGCAGATTTACGTCTAACTGGTAAACTTGAGGTCGTCGATGATGATGACGATGATGTTGACGATAATGTTGTCAACGATGATGACCTTGACAAGGAGGCCGATGATGACGCTGTAGGCGTCGATAACGATGATGATGGCGATAATAACGATGGTGATGTTGGCATTAGAATTAGCGTCAACTGTGGATCACCTCTTTGACTATGCTTGTTCAGTATTGATAAAGGTGCAGGAAAGTGTTTAGTTAATAATTGTTGAATATGATTTGTTAATACTCTAGGCAGTTGAGGATTTGTTTCAGGCCAGGCAATAGTTTTCATAAGTGACCTTTAAAAAGAAAAAAAGTAATTTTATAAATATTATGCAAAAGGAAAACACTGCTCGAGAATAGCTACCCACCTCGTTTTATAGACAAGCATATCAAGCCTAAGACAAAGTACAACCCATTACAGTGCAGAAGAAGATGGTCTACATGAATGTACCCTTCAAAGGTGACCTTCTGGCTGACACCTTGAAGAAGAGGATATCTACTGCTCTCAGAAGGACATTCTTCGCTGCCACACTACGACTGATATTTTCCTCCCGGCCATTTTTCTTCAATTACTCTAAAAATAAACTATCGCATTTGACCACTTCCATGTGTATCTACCAATTCACCTGCTCTTGTGGAGCGAGGTATATAGGTCGTTCGATGCGAGTTTTATCTAAAAGAGTTCAAGAACACTATCCCGCCTGGCTACGGAAAGGTAACAACGGAGCAATAAGGAGCGCCATTATTGAGCATATACTCAACACTGGTCATTCGATTTGCAAGGAGAAGTCGTTCAAAGTCATCTATAAAGTCAAAAGAAGCCTTCCAAAATCGACAAGCTTCCGTATACTTTGTATTGCCGAAGCCTTAGCGATTTGGATAGAAAAGCCTGATTTATGCACACAGAAGAAACTTCTCCACCCCCTCCTACTACCGTGGGTTTATTTCAAGTTTATCTGTCATCAACATTTTGTTATCAAATTTTTTTTGCAATTTTCGTATAATAATTTTTTAGTAACTAACCCATTCAATCTTTTCACCTATTATCTAGTTTATTTTCATAATTGTCTCCATACTCCTTCACTAACATCTAATCTTTCTAAACATGTCTATATTACGTAACCCTACTCACATCTTACCAATCTTCACCCCACTTAGTTACAACTTTGATTACTAATCACACATTTTAATTTCTTAATTATTTTGATGATGTAATCAACAACCCACACTTACTGTTATTTTGATTTCGACAAACCTAATGTACACACACACAAAATTAATTGTATATATTTGTGACTGTACAGCTAAGTGAATGAATTCGCCGAAAAGAGACTCTTCGTTGAACTAATTTGTTCTTATTTCAATGTCTTAATGGGTATTTTTCGCGAAGCAAAAATATTTGTGAACTATTCCTAAGAAATTTTCACATTTCGGGTTTTTCTCCTTAAGTTTGCCGAATCAATTTCTATCAAACGCTTGAAACCAGATTTATGTGTTCAGAAAGAAGCAGTTATTAATCTTCCCTTGCCCCGCTAACTGAATGTCTTTATCCTGTCATCTGATTACGTAATCTTTGTCTTTAACCTCACCCCCTTTTATAATCTGTAATTTTGCTTGTCTCTTGTTTCTATGATTTGAGTTGAACTCAGTACATTGTTACCTAATTTATTAGTCACTGCATCTTACGCATCTCTCGTCTTTATTACGTAACTCCTTTGCCATTGTATGCATACATTTATTTTTGTTTAAACTTGAACTGCCTGAGTAAAAAATTATATGAGCTTAATTTTCTGAAGACTATTCACTAATTGTGGAACTTTCTGTCAACTGACATCATGTAAAATTGGCAAGTATGTTAAAAACTTTTCTGTACATAAACCTCATAATTTATTTAGGCTGTAAGCAGCTGATGAGAAGCCAACGAAATAAACAATGATGGTACCATATTATTCTGCACAAACCGCCACTGTTGTTCTTGCTTTATTCAAATTTTGGGTTTTGTAAGAGTTTTCATTAATTCTAATGTAAACATTTCGTTACAAACCAAGATCAGTTAGAGAGTCGTTTAAAAACTTAAGGAGTGCTGAAAAGTACTGTTTCGCTGTAGTTTGAGACTCCTCAAGAGTCTTCACCAACCAGAGACTGAATTCAAGGCATTTAGGTAATGAGGCGTTCACTATATTGAAAAGTGATACAGTTTATTATTCCTAGACGTCTGAACTTCAACTCATTTGGTAAACGTTCGAGAAGCTAGATTTGTAAACTAATGGGCCTAAATTCAATCCCTAGTAGCGTCTTGAGTTTGCATTTCTGAAGAAGCCCAAACCAAGACGAAACAGCCGTTCACTGCTCATTGGCTTTCAGAATGATTCTCTATCTGATATCGGCTGGTCGTGAAGCACACAAAGATGAAATGTGATAATGGATTGGTTCGAGTTTCACATCAGAGAGCATTGTTTCATAGGACCTACTGTCGACTAATGTTTTATTTGAAGATCGTGCAATAAACTCGACTGAAAATACTGTACATTATATAAACACTGTCCAGAGTAAAGCTGTTGTTATTTGTTGTTACTGTTGAGGACTAGAACTTCAGAAATTTCTTCCTTAGTAAAGAAACTGGTTATAATTCACTTACTTCAGGAATTATCGTCGAACACTTCAGTTGTCATTGCCGAAAGAGGATAAGCGTATGAAGAACTTAGTCATAAGGCTGTTTAAAATCTCATCGTCAGGTTTTAAGAGATTTAATTCAATCAAACCTACTGAATTTTAAAGCCTTTCACTTCCATTTTATCGTTAAATATTACTGAATTTGTCTTTAAACATGAACTCTGAGTTATTGTATCAGTTATAAATCACAAATACACCCTATGACTCGATTTGTTTTTATTTCATGTAAATATGATTGTAAGGCCTTTGATGATGACTTCATTTATAAGGAAAGTTTTATTCATTGAAGCGTCTTTTAATTAATGTCATTCCAGATTTGGTTACATGACGAGAATTTCCTAATGTAGCAGAGAGTGAAGCGATTTTCAGCAATTTAATAGGGGCATTCATTTACTTGAGATAATGGATACATTTACTTAGAAGGCAGCTACCATCCTAGAATTCCTATGAAAAGATTACTACTATTATTTCCGGAATCTGCATTCCGTTGGGTCCTCATCCATCATTTCCAGCTGGCTCCACAATTAGTCACATGCTTTCATCCATATCTCGTCACATGACCTTCTGCATATCCCCTTCGGAAGATAAACTTGCCGTTGCCCATTCGAAATCCACTTGAGGACCTGTGTTTGCTTGTGTGTGTGTGTGAAGCCACTCAGCGGACTTCTTAGCTTATTTCCAATGATTTCCCTGATTGCAGAAGACTGGATAGTGTGACAGAGAGCGGGTCGGGCAACGAGCAGACAGGCATAACGTGGACCCTTACAAAATACTTGCACAATCTGGATTTCACCCATGATCATATATACATATGTCTAATTTCCTACAAACTGGAAGATATGCAAGTGAAAAGCAACAAGTTGGCGATAGAAGAAGCATCCAGGGAAGATAGGAAAGACTTCAGGTAGATATAGAGAAAACAGACGTAGGTGATGAAGGTTCCTGGCTAAAAGCAACAGCGACAGCGGCAGCAACAACAATCACAGACAATAATCAGCCAGTATGAATGGGAGAAATCTGAAAGTCGGAGCAACCACTTTTACCCACCTACCTACCTACCTTGGAAACATCATTTCAAATACAGGCCGACGGAACTGATGAGGATATCAAAGCAGCGAGGATCGCGAGAGCAAGCCAAGCTTTCATTACTTTCACCAATTCTGTTTGGAGATCACCAGCGCCGCGCCACGCCGCCACGCCCTGCGTCACGAAGGCCACTTTCAACAAACTACACACCTTCATCAACAGCTGTCTTCGCTCAATACTACTCTAGATCAGATGGTCGGCCAGAAATGATCAATCAGAAACAGCGATCTCTGGCAACCAAGAAACGAACCAACCAACCTAGCAGGAGCCAAGTGTGCAAAAAATGTGCAGGAAGAAATCGAGTTAGGTGGATTGGCCACACTCTGAGAAAACAAACTGTCATCAAGTGAGTGACATCCATCACACACCACGTCAGGTCAGGCCATAGCTCGAGTGGAACTCGAATGGAAAGAGACGAGTTAGTTGGTCGTCAGTGCGAGGATGGGGTGACACGCAGGAGGAGGATTAGGAGAGGGAGGAGGAGGTGATGAGAAGAGGAGATTAAAGCATGTGAGCAGACGTAGAGCCAGGTGAAAACGTTGGCTGACGACTGACTGCAACGAAGACGTGTTGCTGAAACCTTATGTTTCTACAGGAACTAAAGGATGGTTGGTATTTCTCCAGGACTTAGCATAATATAAACACGATGGTATCAATTCATTAGAGATGACTGCAATAGAATGATCACCTGGTTAATACTTGTGTCTCGTAGCTTAGCTGATAGACCACTGGGTTAGTAATTCGAAAGAGGCTTCTAGACCAAATCTTGTCACAGCCCATCCAGATTTTCATTTTGTTCTCATCATGTATTAAAGTTTGTTAATCCGAGGACCGTCTGACTCAAATACTCTTACCAACAAAGAGATCATTGAAAACCAGATAGTACTGGACAGCTGTTTCTTCCTAGTTTCAGACTCTTCAGTAGTAAGGAGCACCTAGATCCCTGAAGTAACGAGGCCAAATTCTCTGATCGTTCAAGTTCTCACTGATTTCCTGACTGATTTTGTTATGTGGAGAAATTTTTATCTATGTCAGTTTGTCGGTGTCACAAATCCCATTCCCTGCTTGCTGTATTGCACATCTTGCGAATTACCATCACTCCTACCAACTAGATGGCATATTGTGATCCGAATAATTTTGTATTTCTATAGGAAAAACTGTGGTGCACTCTCACCTCGAAGTATGTTTCAATTCGCAAATGACTAATTCAGTCCTGTGTATTATTAGTTCCCCTAAAGTGACTCAACTCTTTGAGCTGATGAGCTCAACCCTAGCCAAATTTAACACCCCCCTAGTGTTTATATCATTTGAATTTGACTGATTAGTAACAACTACTGAACCATTAAGAAACCTGAAATTACTGCTTAGCTGTTTCGCCCCACTTTGGGTCTCTTCACAGTATACACCCACTGAGGTACTAACCCAGAACCTTTTGGTTACAAGACGAGCCAATGGAACCTGGTCCAGTGTACAACGGCTAGCACTGAAAGTCTATGAGCTTGCCCTGTAGCGTACTGCTGAGAATTTCAAACTATTA